GATCATTCAGAGCAGAAAAGTGTCTCCCAGGCAGCTGCAGAGATCAAAGTTGTTTCTTGCAAGTAGCCTTGCTAGGATCAGATGTGTTCAGGCATTTCCATCTTTGGTTGTTTATAGGAAAGTTAAGGTCATCCCTAAACCAATCTAATCTTTGCTGGCTGCTTGGAAGCTCAGGGAAGGGCTTTTTATTTCTTTCTTCGAGTCTGTGCCAGTGTTATTTGGCTTTGCAGTCTCAGTGACATAGTTGGTCTTTTACAACACGATTTCCTCTTGGAGGTTATGATATAATGCTTAGGATGACATCAACAGGAATGGTTAATAGACTTACAGGATGATGTTCTTTGACTTATTTCCCTTGCATCTTCTGCTACCTGGAGTAATAGGTCCCTGATGGTACTGATTTAAATGTTACCCTCTAGCTAACAAGAAAGGTCAGAAACAGACGTGTCAAGCAGTGCAGAATCAAATGCCTCGAGCCTTTCAAATTACTTGACTGAAGCACTGCTGGTACCAGTGCGTTGTCTCAGTTTATTCAGACAATGTCTACATTGGCAGGCACTGCAGCGTGATGGAAATGAGTGTGTAAAGTAAAACAGTTGCAGCTGTTTTGGTTTTAGCTGGCTGTAGCCTGGTACCCCAGACTGATTGCTCCTCAGCACATGGAGCACGAGATGCCTTCCTGGAGTTCATCTTCCAGTTCAGTTGCATGCTTAACAAAACTTGTTCATGCTCTTTGTAGCTGCTGTGAAATACAAAGCAAAGCTCAGCAAGTGGAAGCAGCCTGGAGGTATCCTTTGGAAGCAAGTCCTGATGCAAACAGTAATACTGACAGAGGCACACAGTTGCTTACAGTGAGTGGGGAACATCAGCTCAGAACTCATCCAGGAACTTAGAGCTAGAATTTAGATATCTAAAGCTCCAGTGATAACCCTTTTGTTTTTACTTTGTTTCTTAAACTCCATCTTGTAACATCCTTATTCTTGGACTCTCAGTTCAGAAGAACGTACATATAATTCTCTAGCCCACCCTTTTTTGTCCCCTGGAATCAAAGCACGAATGGCATTGGAGCACTGTCAGTACTTTCCATAAAGGAAGTCAAGTGAAATAGTACACAAGCTCAAAATGTGTCTGGCTAGCCAACAATAAAAGCTATTTCTTTTTTAAAAGCAAACTTCATTTAAATGAACCTTCTTACGTTTTCTCCAATATTCGTATAAGACACTTAACCTTTAGATGTAAAATCTGCATCTAGGATAAAGGACAGAAATATAACAAAATAGATTATGCAGTGTATTATATGCAGTATATAGTACAGTCAGAAGTCCTAATGTCAAACTTAAAAATTATGTTTGTTGAAGGCAATGGAATGACTCATTGGCTTTCTGACGATGGTGGGAAGAAGGGAGGTCTTCAAGACCCTGTACAAATAGCAAGAATAACACAAGTGACTAAATTCCTCATCTTGGAAAACTAAGGTGTTTCCTTTCATCTGAGTGAAAGTGTATAGTGCTTATAATGATTAATAGAAGGTACATAAGCTCTCTGAGGTGAAAAATACACTCCTTTATTCCTAAATAATACATGACCTACAAAGCAAACAGTGTAAATCTTAAACACCACTTCCCTGCTGAGTGTTTCACAGATGAGAACTAACAGCTTTTGAAAAGATCTTTCCATATATGCTGTGGAACGTCATTGCTGAAATTCTTTTTTTTTTTTTCCTCTAGGCAACTTATTAGTTGCTAAAATATGATACCTTACGATTGCTTTTGAATTTAAATACGTCATTTTTCCTAGAAGTGTTACTTTATCTCAGATTATTTCTAAGGCCAACCTATGATGTTTGGCCATGCTTATTCTTTTTTTTTTTTTTCAGATACATATTTAGATCCCTTTTTTCCAAATGAAGGAAGTGGTACAAGGTCAATGGATGAGTAAATTCCCAATTATGAGCGCTTACGGAGCTCATTTGATAGACTCCTCATGTTTTATGGTCAGAAGGAGTTAATGTTGAGTCCCCTTTCTAAGAGATGCAGTCTTCCTAGACAGAATTATTCACCACTAAATTGATCCTTTTTTTTTTTTTTTTTTTTTTTTTTTTTGGTATGATGGCTAATTTGAAGCAGGCAGATTTCTTTAGCGGGGATGAATATCATTATTTCAGAGTTAAATATTTTCAGCAGAGGGCAGAGGAAGGAGTGATCCAAATCCATGTTTCTCTATGGGGAACTATTGGAGCCATAATCCTCCAGTCCCTCTGGCAGGCACAGGAGAAAAAATTCAGATGAGCCTTTTGTGAAAGTGGTTGCCTGCACCAGGCTGGACTCCATGACCCAGGAGGAGTTGAAAAGAGCTATGTTCTAGTATTTATAAAGACTGTGCTGTCTATCACCAGGGCGCAGGCTCTTCACATCAATAACCCAGCCTTTCAAAGCCAGTGAAGACAAGAACATGGGTTTTGTCCTGCTGCAGCCAAGGAGCGGGTAGCCTTTCACTAATGAGCTCATGGACTGCCTCTGCAAATGAGATAATGCTTGGCTCCTGTCCCGGGACAAAACTCTTCAGCCACCAGATCCTCATCTCTTTCCTTCAGCACCTCGCTCCTGATTCTTTGGGCTTGCTAGCACAGATTTCACAAGCAGCTGTGGTTTTCCACAGCCCTGAGTGCCGCAGAAGCATTGACTGGGAGGTGACTTAGTCCAGCCTCTTGCTGTGAGCGGGATTACTCCTGGCAGGAGATGAGGGCAGCCCTGACTAAGCCCTGGAAACCTCCAAAGGCAGAGATTCCCCACCCTGCACCCTCCTCCTGGAAGTGCATTCTTTATGTCCATCCAACCTGGCTCTCCCCAGCCACCATCTGCGGGCCTTGCACCTCCTCGTGTCACCTGGAATTGCCAAGAAAAAGTCAGTTCTCTTTTCTTTGTAGCTACCCTTCAAGTAATTCTCCCTTACGTCCACAGTTTGCAGCAGAGGCTTCAGTATTCAATACGGGATTATACTCCACAGGCAGTGACTGCAAACCTGCAGTGAAATGCAATCTCTAATTGCAGACAGGGCACCCCTGCAGAGGTCCTGCTGCTGCTTCACACCTCTCTCTTCCTGCCAAGCTGCTTGCTGGCTTGTGTTGGTGGTCTTCTGATCCCCAGACTCCCAGACCCACCTCTTAGGGGCTCATCCGCTGTATGGGAGTGTCATCTTAAACCTCCCAAAGGATCACCCTGAAAACATTTTCCAGGATGTGCAAGCAAGGAAGATGGGGTTTTGTACCCATGCGATCCATAGACCTAGCCTGGCCCTTACCAAAATCATGGCTTTTTACATTTAAAGCCTGTTTCAGTACCTTTCTTCTGTCTTATCTCTCTCTGTGTTATAGACCAAGAAGTACCCAAGGAAAACACTTGGGAAAAAAACTTTCGATTTTGATGTATCTGAATAACAGTAATTTCTGCTGGAAAAGTTTTCTTAAGCTGTTTGCTCCATCTCTCTGAGAGTGCAGAATTTGTTGCATTTCATGGCATAACTCAGATTTATTGATTTGAATGCTATCATTTTCATACGGAGTCATCTCTGATTTTAACTTCATAAATTTCAATGAAGTTATACAATGGATCTTTTTTTTTCCCAGTACTTCGTTTCAAGACGTTGGGAATGAAGTTTCTTGGACTCTGATTGCATGACATCAGCTTTCTCACAGAAAAGATATTTTTTTTTTAGCATCCTAGATCAATCTAAAGTCTAGGACAAATATAGGTCTCATTAAATGCCATTTGTCTGAGAAACAGAGTAATAAGATTTCACTACGATGTTATGTGTCTGAATACAGATCTTCTTAGCAGCTAAGACACGGCACCAGGATTTAGGAAGTCATTTTGACAAATGTGAAATTAAAAACTTAACTGTTCCGTGCCTCATATTTTCCATCTGTAAAATGGGAGCAGTGATATTTTGTTCTTTGAATAGCACTTTCTGATTTAATGGTCCATGATTATCATTATTACTGTTGACAGTGGCATCAGCTCTGTTCCAAATTGGTTATAATTGGAATGTTTAGATGAATGACAGCAATTACAGGGCCATTATGCTGCAAACATTTAAGCCTGTGATTAATTTCATGTATGTAAGTAATCGCGGTTACTTCAGTGAAGCTACTCACGTGAATAAAATTAAGCTCATTTGAAGTGTCTGCAGGATCAGGAGTGGAATGCTCTAAGAAACCTTAGTTCTTAAATAGAAATAAATAATAGACTTCTCAGGGAAATTTCTGGGAAATTTATTTGAACTCTATGTTGCTGCGTGTTGTTCAACAAGTGCTAATTTTGTTCACAAAACTCAGTGTTACAGCCATTGATTATAAATATTGGCTTTGATATCACTCAATATGTTTTTGCAGAAAAGTAATCCTTCTTTAAATTTTGGCTACAGCCCAAAAGCTTATTGTTAAATACATTTTCTTGGTATGAAGCCTGACTCATGGCATGCTCCACTGTGCGTGACTGATTACCAGGGATATCAAACTGAACTATTTCCATTCTGCTGCCAGCACAGTTATCATTAGAGCTCTTTTAAAAAGGGATGTGTTTTACTCCAAAGAAACAGTTTATGTTTTTACATTGTGCGGATTTTGTTTTCTGTATCATGATAGCTAGTTATTCAGCTTTACCAAAGATAGAGAAAATGTCACACAAACATGTATTGAAAGGAGTTCTTCAATGGTGATGAGGAACCAGAGAAGCGTGCACGTGGCGGAGGCGTGTTGTCAGCAGCCTGCTCTGGCTGGCTCTAGTGGGGATGCTGAGCAGAAATGAAGCATGGGGCTAGCTAAGGTGAGGACTGGCTTCTGACTACAGGTGTGATAAAATGCCTGTTGACTGCCTTCTGGAAGAGAAAAATGGGGACTGCCCCACAGCCTTTTGCAGTCTGATAACGGAGTGCTTTATCTGTTAGCTACCACTTTGCTTTCCATCCTTCAGTTACCTTTGCTTTTTTTGTTTGTTTTTTAGTTGATGGCTTGGATAAGGCTTCAATCGCTAACTCCGATGGACCAGCCCCAGGATCGCAAACTCCCCCCTTCAAGAGAAAGGGCAAACTCTCTACCATTGGCAAAATCTTTAAACCTTGGAAATGGAGGAAGAAGAAGACCAGTGACAAATTCAGAGAAACATCGGCAGGTATGCACGTGGCCCTTTGGTGACAAATAGTAAGAAACACTGTAATAGCTTTGAGGATAATACTTGAAAAGGTCTTAGATGGCAGAAATTATTTAAGCACAGTATTTTGCATATACAAAAACTGTTTGATTCTTGGCAAGGAAAACCTTACTCAGCTTCTGTCCTGAACCTGTCACCAAAAATGTGCAATTTGTTCATTTAATATTCATTATATATTATATTCTTTTGATGTTGAAAGTGTTATTTTTAATGAAGAAACACTAGACTGTATGCTACATGTTCTCAGGAATGTTGGAAGTGTCTGTGTCTTCTCCTAATGGCCAGTGGCTTGGGTTATGAAACAAACCTTGCCTTCATGGAGACAGAAGTTTGGTCTGTTCAGAGGTGAGAAGCAGATGTGATCATGCCCAGCAAGAGAACAAGGATCAGATTTGTAACCACTGCCTTTGTACTGGCTGCTCAGCCTCTTCACTCCCCAACTGGATAGGCTTGAAGAACAGTCTGAAATAAAATGCTGTGACTGAGTTACGTTCCTTCTGAAAATGAGCAAGATGGAAGGCTGGGATTTGGTCACCTGAACACAGGTACTTGGTACCGCTTGAGGTGCTCTGGACATCCTGGCTGCTCTCCCTAAAGGTTTTGCATTATGTTTGCCATCCCTTTGCAGATATCCCCAAAATCTTGGGGCAACTCAAGTGGCTGTAGAAAGTCATGCTTAGTAAACTGAACCCAACCATGCATGTATGTCTCTGTGTGTCATAGCTCTGTCCAAGCTTTCTCCAGAAAAATCCCAAAGTTCTATTTTGGGATTCAGATATTTGATGCTATGCTTTTCTCAACTTGAGCTTTATCAGAGTCCATGGAGCATCTATGGGCTTTTCAGATCCATTTCCACAAGTCCACTGTCTTCTATGCCTTTAGGTTAGAAAACCAGTATTAACCTCCCCAAATGTCCCTAGTAGGCTCTTCTGAACTGTCAGGAGTACACTGTTTTATATTTTAAACCCAGCAAATGATAACAATTACAGAAAGGAACTCTGTTTTTGCAGAGTAACTACTAAAACATGTTATAACTACTCAGAAGGCAAAAAGAAGCCATCTTTTTCCTCTGGGTACCCTGTGACAACCCCACCACAATTTGTTTTACTACTGCAATCAAAAAGTTCCCCTAAGCCTGATAACTCCTGCCTTGCTTCCAGTTTTCTTCAGCTTTCCTAGTACTTTTATCATATTTCTAGGGCAAAGATCTTCCTAGTTAATCACTCCTGCAGCTACATTTAGGGAGGTACATGGTCTAATATGCACCAAATTCTTCAGAGTAATCCGTATTTTTATTGCTGTATACAGACATTCCCCAAGCTGTCACCAAACATTACCTTATGTTAAACTGTTAAGCCATTAAATAATAATGCATGTGTTATTTTGCAGTTATTTTTTACAAATTAATATCTGGTACATTTATGTTAAATACAGTATTTCTTACATTATGCTATCTTTCGCAGCCTCAATACAATCATACAAGCATGACATCAATTCATGTAATACCAAGGCAAAACACACGTTCATATTTCTTTTACAAAAGGAGGAAATGAGGCACAAAGTGATTGAGCTCAGCATTTCCAAAAGTACCTGCGTAGTTACTTGTTTATACTTAATTTGCTTGTGTTGTTTATGATAGCATAGTCCCTGAAGTCCTTCAATAGGTGTGACGAATCTACAGGTCCCATTGGCACTGACTTCAGATGAAGTTATTCAGGATGAAGGCATCTTAGATTGAGCACCTGAACGCTGGAGATGCCTAACAGTTGATGGAATGAACAGAAAAAAAATAAATAGTTTCAGAACTGTAATAAAAATCTGGGTTTAAAATTATGCTATAGGTATAAATAAACTCCAAGTCACAAAATGCCTTTTTCAAGTGCTGTACAGCAACACCAGTTGTTAATAAGGGATGCTACCTCTTTCATTGAAGTTTGCTGCATTTATATGCATGAGAGCTACAATATTGTTTGCATTACAGCAGAATATATTGAGCACTTTAGATTGAGTCTCTGATTTTGCCCCTGTGTGCTCTCAATGCATAGCTGTGTTTATTACTCTAAAGGAGGTAATTACTGGGAAGCAGAGTCTATCTCAACTACCTTATAGCTAATTTTTAAGGGGGTATTCTGTCTTCTCAGTTAGCTCAGCTGTGTCAGCTTGCTTCCACTGCCTCCTGAGCAGTGGCACCAGTTCTGTGATGAGTAGATAGCAAACCTGATCCAGCAGAAAGCTAATACAGTGAACCATAACAAGAAGTAGCAGTTTTTAATTTTCTGCAAAGGTTACCACTTGCACTTGTGGTCTTGGGTTGTGATAACTGTCAATAGAGCATACTGAAGCAGAGAGAAAACACAGAGACACTCTTCGGAAGACTTAAAATTCAGACAACTGATTATTTTTATTTCAACTGCGGTTATGCATCACTGTCTTTCAGGTCTGGAAACTAAAAAATTAATGTAGATTTCCTTGTCTGTTCTTCCAAGGTTAGAGTTTTATTTTTGTGATAAATTTTTTCTTCAAAACGGGGAGCACCAGTGTGCAAACAGAAATCCATAAAAGTTAGGAGAATTTGCACTACGAATCAGCAGAAGACTAATAGAGTCAGTGGTGAAAGATCAATGCAGTCCATAGATCATGTAACCAGGAGCTCTTTTGGTCAATTGAATACGTGACTGTATATGATTATGTATTGAAAAGTGGAAGTTAATTATCGGCACAAATGTAGTATCTCTGTAAATGTTATAGGGCATGAGAAAAGTTCAGTGCAGGAGGAGGTAACAGTTAACTAATTAAAGTCCCCACTCTAAGTTCAGTCACAGGACTTTATATTTAATAGTTCTTTTTGAAAAAAAAGTCTACTAGCACAACTGATTTACTAGAGTGACTAATGTATCTTGTGTTGAATATCTTTATATATACTTTTAAATTATCCTTACAAAAAATCATTTTTTATATCACCGTTTAGATAACATCCTGCTAGATAACCATGTAGTGTGTACCCAAGCTTTATACTGTAAAGGCTGCTCTTATGTTTAATAACATAAAGTAATGTAAAACTCAGCTAGTAAAACATAAAACCATTCTAATAATCTAAATTATATAAACTACAAATTCAATGCATGTTTTGGTGAATAGAACATGATTTTATATGCAAGCTTGGGAACTTATTATATTTTTTCATTATTCAGTAGACTGTTTTTATTTTCTCTAAAGAGTCCATATGCTCCATTTTTTAATAAGGATTTAATGATCTATCCCACTATGCTGTAACACTTCACTCATTTGAGTGGGATTGTACTAATGTAGTGATACAGGGAATAAATTTCAGGTTTTGAAAGCTTTTGTATTCTTTTGTATGTTCAGTATATCATCAGCTTGTATTTGTAAGGTTACATGCATTTTGCCAACCATCACAGTATTTAGTGCTTTTTTTTCTATAAAAGTGCTGGGAGTTATGTAATATGTAATATCTGAATGTCTCAACTTTCACCTAAGAAATAGCAAGTCTGGTTTTCTAAGCTGGGGAGATGAAAAAGTAAACCTGGATGACAAGAATTGTAAGTTTTAAAAGTAAATGAAAGGTTCCCAAATCAATTTCCCTCTACTTGTCATGTTGGAGTTTTACCCCTTGTGGCTCTCCAAGATGTAAGCTTTGGCTAGATGAAAGCGGCACCTAATTGACTATACTGACTAATCTCTGCAGAGTGAAGATTCTGAGCACATCTTCAAGGCAAATTTAGTTCATAGTCTTGTTTAGATGTTATTGTCGTTTACTCTCTTGTCTACCATCAGATCTATTTCTTCCAAGCCTGGCTGTACTGGTCTTATGCTAGTAGCCTGTTTTGAGCTAGATACATCTTTCATTCATCCTGATTGCCTACTAATAATACTGGTAGTGCTGGCAGGAGTGCACCAGCATAAGTTGTTTGTGTTGACTTCCAGTGTATTCCTGCAGTTCCTCCTCTGTTTGGCCAGAAATACAGATGACCTCCTCACATAATTCCCTACAGAGAAATGATAGGGGTAAATCCTGCTGTTTCTGCAGCACTAAGGGACTGTGTCCTCAGAAATCCCAGAAACAGACAGGGTGCCAGCCCCAGCTGCATCATGAATGAGCTATAGCTACTCAGTGCAAATTGGGTTAGCCTGCACTGAAAGCATATCTTGACGTGCCTGGGGGTTATTTTGCTGTCAGGAAACCCCAGAGCTGTAGGGAGATACTCATTTGTTTTAAGTTCTATGTAAGGAAGGTATGGAACCACTTACGTTTGTATACGTCTTTCCTGTGAGGCTGGAATTTGAAATGAAAACCAATTTGGATTGCACTCATCCTGCTTCAGATGGTTGTTTCAGGAAAAAAAAAAAAAAAAGTTATCCTTTTATTTCTTGAGGAAACAGACCCAGGGCCAACAGAGATTAAAATGTTGCATTTACTTGGCAAGTCGCCCCATGTTGCTGGTTAATTGACACAGCAGAAGAAACTTGCTTATCTAATATGAGGATGGGGAAAACATCCGTACAAAATAAAATTCCTACAGGAAATCCTCTTCCTCAGACAACGCAGACAGAGATATATTTACATTGCAGAACAGGGTGTTTGTATACGTGTATCTCACATGCAGGAGGCTAATCTCTTGTTCTGAAACCATGGTAGACAGTATGATGGTTGTTGCTTATACTGCTTATTCTTAACAAGGCTGAAACTTAATAAGTATGGGTGCAGGTGAAGAAAGCATTTCTTCTAAGACAGAATATGGGATATTGGAAAGAATTTCTGTTGCTGTAACTGGGTTTCAGTCAGCTTTTGGAAAGGTTCTTGTTACAGATTTGACAGGGCTGGACCATGCAGTGTGTTGACAAAATCTCATGTGCCTGTATTATGCTAGCAACTGAAAGATATTCATAAACAGCAAATACCACGAACAATAAAAAACATGGAGAACTAGATGTGATGTGGA